AGCACAAAGTAAGGAAATTAGCTTAAAAAAGCTGAAATTAACAACAATAGGTGAAAGTAGCTGAAAAGGAAGAAAGAAGCTTAAAGAAGGAAGCAGAAGGAGCTGAAATGAGCTTCAAGAATGTGGGATTAGCTGAAAAAGCTACATTTAGCACAAAAACAGATAAATAGTAGCGGAAATAGTAGAAAAAAGCTGAAACTAGCAGAAAGAAGCTAAAAGGAGCATAACAAGTTGAAATTAGCCGAAATAAGTTAACTGGGCTGAAAGTAGAGGAAATTATCATGGAAAACTTGAATTTATCTGAAAACAGCTGAAAAGTAGCTTAAAAAACAGAAAGAAGCTTAAATTACCAGAAGGAAGTGGAGAGAGCACTTTTTTTCTGAATTAGGCTGAAAAAAGTTTAAATGAGCTCAAAAAATGTGGAATTAGCTTAAAAGGCTAAAATTAACATAAAACAGTTAAATGGTATCTGAAATAACTGAAATTAACAGAAAGAAGTTAATTAGGCTGCAAGTAGCAGAGATTACCATGAAAAACTTGAATTTATCTGAAAACAGCTAAAATTAGCTAAAAATGTAGCTGAAAAGTTAGAACAAGCTTAAATTAGCATAACAAAGCAGAAAGAACACATATTGGCCCAATTAGGCTGAAAGAAGCATAAATGAGCACATAAATGGGAAATTAGCTGGAAAAAAACTAAAATTAGCAGCTGAGAAGTAGCTAAAAAAGCAGAAAGAAGCTGAAATTACCTGAAGGAAGTGGAGAGAGCATGTTTTTGCTGAATTAGGCTGAACAAAGTAGAAAGGAGTGCAAAAATTGTGGAATTAGCTGAAAATGATTAAATTACCATAAAACAGCTGAAGTAGCTGAAATAGCAGAAACAGCTTAAACTTGCAGATATAAGCTGAAATGGACATCAGCTGAATTTAGCAGAAAGAAGAAGTTAGAAGAAGCACAAAAATGTTGTAATTAGCTCGAATAATCTGAAAGGAGCACAAAACAACTGAAAAACAGCTGAAGTTAGATGAAAAAAAAGTTACAATTTGCACAAGAAAGCTGAAAGAAGCCGAAGCAGAACAAAACGTGAGTAAAAAGGTGTAAACAGATCTAAAGACGTGAAGGATGTAAAATGAGCTCAATTCATTTTCTATGAAGGAAAAAAGTGGCAGAAAAGGCTAAATATTTCAAAAAGCTAAATTTGCACCAATACCAAAAGTCACAGCAGGATTGTCCTGAAAGAGCTGAACGTTTAGATTTATGATTTGTTAAAATAGCTTAAAAACTGCGGGACGAGAACTGTGCTGAAAACTGTACAGAAGTAAAATGGATCACAACAGAGTGAATGCTTCATAAACA